AAACCCCATCTGCCATCCCTGGCTGTCTGCAGCTCGTGTGGTGCCTGAGGTCCCCGCTCCCCCAGCTTCACTTCTAACACTGGACTTGCTGGGACCATAGGAGACTGACTAAATACCTAGTGACACAGACCGGTAGCACATCCCCTAGGCCGCCCCTGGGAATGGGAGGCTCAAGCTGTGGACCACCTGGCGCGTGAGTGTGGGAAATCCTCCCCTCCCTGACCCCTTCCCACCAGGTCTGCTGAGCCTGGCTGTGGGGCTTTCGGCCTCTGGCCTGGTTCACCTTCTTAAATTAACGTGTTAACATACACTGACAGACGCACATGTCTATGGTGAAACGTGAACCGTTAGGTTGGAAACTTTTCATTTACAAGTGTGGGGTGTCCCAGAGGACTCACACGTGTGAAGGTGCTGTCAGCCAGAACCTTCCGGTCAGGGCATGGCAGAGTGGCAGGCCTCCGATCCTTGGGTGAGTGGGGGAGCGTCTGGGGGACTGTCTCAGGGGGTCAGTGGAGCTCACTGGAAGGGTCACAAGGAGGGCTTGATTGATGAGGAGCAGCTTCTCAGAGAACCGGGGCAGAGGCACTAATGTCTGAGAGCCAAGGGCACACACGCCTCATGGGCTTGCTCAAGAGGCACCCGGGAGTAAACGGGAGAGCTGGCCGGCTGTTCACCTCTCTCCTGCTCCCTGCGTCCCCTCTCTGGAGCTCGATCAGGGATGAGTGCTGAGGTATGGCGGCCGCTTACAGGTGAGCGTTGTCACAGGGACAGGGCTGTGCTCCTCCAAGTTCAAGGGCAGCCACCACCAGCAGGAGTCTGAGTCCTCTGAGTTCTGTCTTGGAACCCAGACTTACTTGGGGAATACTAGCCTCTTGTTTGGTTCTAACTGGTAGACATGGGAAGACAAAGTTGAAGCAGTTACCGCTGGGGCTCCTGGTTAGGTGTTGAGCACAGTGAGACACCAGAAGGGACCTTCAGACATCATCACGGAAGCTGGCCTGAGCTTGGACTTGGCCTGAGCCAGAATGTAAATGTTTCCTTCAGAGTAGGACAGATACGAGGCCCTTCCTCAGATAGAATGATCTGGTCTTTGTTCTAGAGGTTTTCTTAATGTCCCAGAGTTGGGAGAGGCTAGAGAATGGACCAGCCCGGTAGGAGCAGCCTAAGATAGACAGATGACTCAGGGAGGCGCCGTGGAAAGGTGGAGAGCAGCCAGATGTGTGGACACCCTGAGCGTAATTTATAAGTCTGTAAATGTAAGGTGTGGGAGGAGATGTACACCAGACCCAAAGGCCCAGAGAGGTGGCAGGAGCACAGCCCAGAGGCTCCGTGGGCCAGAGCCGTTCCAGCCAGGCTTCCCAGTGAGGCTGTGTCCTGTGACGGGCAATAAAGAACGCTCATCGTGTCCACACGGAAAACCAGAACCGTGTTTTCAGTTGATGTGGGCTGAGTCCTGTCACCTTTATATTGCTTTTTATGGGTATAAAATTTGCTTTACAATATTTTCACAATTTTTTTTCTTCATAGCATCATGGTATCTTTTGGGAAATATACTTGGTATAAAGCAGCTCAAGGCTTCTCCAGACAAACCTAAGTACAACTATTGTGGTGCAGGTGAGCTTGAGGTCACTGGGCGCTAAGGAGGCCCTGCCGGCAGTCCGGGGGGAGATGACTTCTATTGAGATGACCTCTGCGTCCCCCTCTGTCCAGATTCACAACTGGGGAGTTAAAAGTTGGCTCTGACGTTGCTGATGTAAATGGCCCTGTGGGATCCCTTGGGAAGACAGTGAATATTTGGGCTCAGAAATCCTACCAGACAGGACACAGGCTTCCCTGGGACAACTTAGGGTGCCTAGGACCTCCCCAAGCAGGATCACCTTCTTTTTGCCTTTAGATACTTATTTTCTTATACTTTGGTCCATCTTGTAAATGGTAAGAGACACTGAAAAAGTGTTTACACAGGCTCTGTCAGGGTGGAAAAATTGCTTTATTTAGATACTAAATCTTAATGCGAAGAAAAAGCTGCCTATGCTATCTGCCCTCAGTCATTCTTACATTTGCAACTAAGCAACTTGATGAGGTGGTTTGGAGCAGGAGAGGAAAGAGAATGGAAGAGGATGATGGTGATCAAGAAATGTCGCACACTCACTGGAGTCATGACAGTGAAACCCTCAAGTGAGAACTCAGGTGAATGATGTCTTTAGACACACTGCCTTTGCCGCTCTTCAATATGCTGTACAAGTACAACTTCAAGGTTTTCACAACGTGCTATGATCTAGATGGCCATTGTTTATCCTAGGTAGAAACTGTAAGTCTGTTTCCTTCTTGACTCGAAGTCTGCAAGCTGGGACCCCCTGCTTCAGTCTCACACACGTCTCCAAGCCTCATAGGAGCTTCCCTGAGACCTCAGGACCTTCATGCTGTATTCTCTTCTCTGTTCTTTTTGCTTCGCAACCCCAACGTGACTATCAGAGTCACATTGCCGGGGAGACCATGAAGCCGAAGGACAAACCCAGAGCCTCTTCCAGACCTCGGTTTAACTTCAGAACATAGAGGAGCCCATTTTTGCCTTGACTCTTACTCTGAAATGCCGTGGGACAGAGGACACCACACCACCACAGTTGATGAAAATCAGAGGCTCCCAGCCAGCCCCTTTTTCTCCCCACCACAGCTGCACTGGAAATGTGGCCTGTAGGACATCTATGCATCCTGCCTGATTTCATGCTGGGTTCCCACAAGGTGTGAGGAACCTCAGAAGTTTTGAAGAGTTCTAGTCTGGGGGTAATGAACTCTATCCATTCCAACAAGAAGAAAGTGGAGACTGAAAATCAGGTCCTCTCAGAGCACCCATGACTGACACCGCTTGGAACCCAAGACCTCCAGCCAGCTGTGTTCTACTTATTTGGTCACGTAGATCTCCCAGGCGGAGACCCTCCCTCCCACACAAAACCTTCCTATGGATGGGCTGCTGCAAAGCAGCAGATGCAGACATGCTTGAACTTCTCTGGACTTGGCTGCCCTTCCTTCCCACCATCCATCCCCTGCCAGTGTCACTGTGCACAAGGACATTTTCATACTCACAAAAGAAAACCAAAACGTGTCTGTCAGAGAAAACACTTATCAAGCATCAACAACTTCTAAAGCATGGAAGGAAAGCTGGCTGCTGGTGGCTCACACCTGTCATCCTGGCTACTCAGGAGGCTGAGATCTGAGGATCATGGTTCAAAGCCAGCCCGGACAGGAATGTCTGTGAGACTCTTATCTCCAATAAACCACCAGAAAACTGGAAGTGGCACTGTGGCTCAAGTGGTAGAGTGCTCGCCTTGAGCTGATGAGCTGAGCGACAGCGCCCAGGCCCAGAGTTCAAGCCCCACGATCGGACCCAAAAAGAAAAAAAGTAAGGAAAGATGATCAGAAGCCTGGTGCTGGTATAATCCTCTAATCCTGGCTATTCAGGAGGCTGAGATCTGAGGATCATGAGTTAAAGCCAGCTCAGGCAAGAAAGTCCATGAGATTCTTATTTTCAATACTCAGAAGAAGCCAGAAGTGGCTCTGCGGCTCAAGTGGTAGAGCACTAGCCTTGAGCAAAGAAGTTCAGGAATAGCATCCAGGCCGAGAGTTCAAGCCACAGGCCCAGCAATAAATAAGTAAATTAATTAATTAATTTTAAAAAATCTAAAAAGGAAAGTGAGCAGACGTTCTGACTCTTTTTGAGAGAGAATACATTATAATACCTTTATCAGTGGTCACACAAAATCACATTGAACCTAAGTTGAATCCACCTGCTACTTAGTAGGATTGGTAGAGAACAGAGGGAGGTATGGAAGGACACCACAGAGATGCTTCACAAAATCCTACAATCAGACAGAAGAGCGTTGGAAAGCTTCTTAGGGAAACTCCATGCGATCACAAGCTAGCTTCTACCACAAGTGAATCGAACAGACAATTCAGCCTTAGAAGGAAGAATCTGTCAGTGAAAGACAGAGCTCCGTGGACATGCGTGAAGCATGGGCTTCACTTGGATTCTGGCTTAGCAAGGAGATCCGTTGAGACACTTACAAACATCATTGGTAATTCACACGCCAAACGCTGCTTCTATCAGTGAATCAACATTTCCCTTCGATAGTGAGAAAAGGATTGTTCTAGCTATCCACATGGTCCAGAGCGCGCTGGGGACAAGCTGAGTGAGCTGCTGAGCATCCTTGGTTCTCAGCCTTCAGTTGGGAAAGCATCCATGTTTAGCGGAGGAGGTTTCCATCGACACATCAAAGGGTGCATCCAGGAGGTGGATAGCGAGATCGCAGGATGGGTTGAGATTAGTCACACAAAAGAACAGAGCCTCATCCTGTCTAGAGACAGGATGTGTGTGTAATGTCACACACTCAGGATCCTGTGGCTTTGCTGTCTAACACACACCAGCGGTTTTGCGCTGGCATCAAGTTTTCTCAATACACATCATCCAGTCGTACTTCCCACACCCACTTACAGCTCCCATTGGCGCTATAGCCCCCCGAAAACGAATGTTTAATGGTATTTTGAAAATTATTCTTTTATTCTGATGTCATAATGGTATTATGGTTATGTTTTGCTTAAGCAAAACCAGTTTTATCTTTTGTAGGTGTATATTGAGATGTTTATGTCCAGACTTGGCTTTGAAATGTCAGTTGATCATGCTCCTTGGTTAGAGTTACTAATCAACAGAGGATGGTTGTTGATGCTGGGTGTATTTATTCTGCCTGTGTTTGAAGTTTCTATTCTTCAAGAGTTTGAGAGGGAACAAACCTACTGCTCTCAGTTGGGTTATGTCCCAGGAGAGGTGAGCCTAGATGCTGACAGGAGGAAGAGTATGGCAGATTCATCAAGGACGTGGAAGCCATCAGGGCCTGGGAGAGACTGCTGGGCAGAATGGGAAGCAATGGCGGGAACCTCAGCCCTCCCTCCACAGACGGCAGCCAGCACACCCAGCTTCTCCTCACGTGGGTTCCTCTGTCCCCTTCCAGCTGGTCTGTGGGGAACTGGAGCGCCTGCAGCCGGACGTGCGGCGGGGGCACACAGAGCCGACCCGTGCGGTGCACACAGCGAGCGCGCTACCACGCAGAGCCCGTCCCCGCCAGCCGGTGTCCCCAGCCTGCGCCCTCCAGCCACCAGGCCTGCAACTCTCAGAGCTGCCCACCCGCGTGGAGCACGGGGCCCTGGGCGGAGGTAAGCAGGCAGGGTTGACAGGGGTGGGGTCAGGGTGTAGGTAGGCACCGGCCACAGAGGTGACTGGACTGTGTGGACGCTGGTGGGGTCTGCCTCCTCCACCCCCCACCATGGACTGTGGAAGCCGTCTCCAGTTGACCTTGTTTTCTCTGGCAGTGCTCTCGGACCTGCGGGAAGGGGTGGAGGAAGAGGACTGTGGTGTGCAAGAGCACCAACCCTGCTGCCAGAGCACAGCTGCTGCCCAGCACTGCCTGTGACCCAGAGCTCAAGCCCAAGACGCAGGAGGCCTGTCTGCCCAGGCGCTGCCACAAGCCCCGAAAGCTGCAGTGGCTCGTGTCCGCCTGGTCCCAGGTCAGTGCTGGACTGTATCGTGTCCGCCTGGTGTCAGGTCAGTGCTGGACTTTATGGTGTCCGCCTGGTCCCAGGTCAGGGCTGGACTGTATCGTGTCCGCCTGGTCCCAGGTCAGGGCTGGACTGTATCGTGTCCGCCTGGTCCCGGGTCAGGGCTGGGCTTCAAGTAAGCACCCCCCATATCTCGTCCTTCTCCACTGTCCAGGTTCAGTCTCCTCTTCTCTTCTGGGTCTTCTCATGTGGTCCAAGTGTCTGGAGTTCCCTCTTGGACACTGGCCTCCGAGTCCCGTCCTCCGAGCATCTCCCCACCACTGTCTGTGCTGTCCTGTCAGTCCTGTCCAGCGGAGGGGTAGAGGGTGGGCAGGTGTGAGTCAGAGGTGGTACCCCTTACTTCTGTGATGCCCAGAGCAGCGCTGGGCGATGGTGCACAGTCAGGGTGCGTGTGCTGCGGGCGTTTCCTCACCGGCCTCTGCATCTGCCTCCCCAGTGAGCATGCGCTGCCCATCCTCCTGACGAAGGACAAGGCTTTCCATCTGCTCCACCCAGGGCGGCAGCCTCACGTGGCCGGACCACAGTGGGAGGGTTTGGAGCCCTGAGCGCTCCCTGCCCCGCTTCAGCAAGTGAGCCCAAAGGGCACCACAGTGACCGTGGGGCCCGGCCCCGTGTGCGGGCTTCACGGAGGAGCGGGAGCCTCTCTCTGTGTCCTGGGCTGGGCCTCCGCATTCCCGCAGCCGTCACAGCGGAGCCCGGCCCTGCTCAGCTCCGGGGGTAGGCCGCAGAGTCCTCATGCACCTCCACTTCCCCAGACTGCGTACAGACCCGGGAGGAGCTGGAGGTTCACTCCACTCTGGAGTCGAGTGCCTCGGAGGACCGGGTCACTCTCGGTACCTCCCACACATGTGCACACGTGCACACACATTCTTCCACACGGGTCTGAGTACACGCAAGGCCCCGCTGGCAGTCCAGGGGTCTACGAGAAGTTGGAAGCGGGAGCTGGTGCTCCTGCCCCGCTCTGCTCACTGTACCCACCGCGGTCTCGTGGTTCTGGGGGCTGCGCAGCACCACCAGTCTCCCTGGCATGGATCAGGAGCATGGGGGGCTGAGGCCCCTCTCGGCCCCCCCCCGGGGATCCAGACGAGCCTGGCTCACCCAGTTGCAGGCCTGCCCGCAGAAAGCACTTGTCCCGGAGGCAGGAAGGCCCACACTGCAGGCTGCCTTGGCGCACAAGCGGGGTTCCCTCCTTGGGGCTCCTTCCCAGGCAGCAGCCGGGTTCAGGGAGGCCTGGTGCCCCCTGGGCGGTTCTGCCTGTGCCTGTGCTGCGGGCCACATCACACACCCTTTGAAGCGTCAGCGTTCACTGCAGGGCCTGGGTGACTGCCTCACTGACACCTGGGAAAAGAAAGCTCTAGAATTACTTTATGGTTTTAGACTGTCCTGCTCCCATCTCCATCCCACTTGAACCTCCGAATCATCCCTTCCTTCTCTTCTGCTTGCGTCCTCAGATAGGAGATTTCTATGTAGCCCGGGCTGGCATTGAACTCCAGATTCTCCAGCCTTGGCTTCTTAAGTCTAGCCTTGTAATTGTGTGCTGCCAGGCCTGGCCTACAAGCTTTCTTTTCTTTCTTTCTTTCTTTTTTTTTTTTTTTTTTGTCGTGGGGCTTGAACTCTGGCCCTGACCGCTGTCCCTCAGCTCTTCAGCTCAAGGTGAGCACTCTACCACTTGAGCCACAGCGCCATTTCTGGTTTTCTAATGGTTTATTGGAGATAAGAGTCTCATGGACTTTCCTGCCTGGGCTGGCTTTGAACTTCGATCCTCAGATCTCTCAGCCTCCTGAGTAGCTAGGATGACAGGTGTGAGCCACCAACACCTGGCTTAATCTTCCTGTTCTTTAAAAAAAAAAGATGTGGTGACGCCTTTTCCTCAAATGGCGATGTGTGTATTACCTGTTCATCTGATATCATCAACGATGTGTGTATTACCTGTTCATCTGATATCATCAGGGGAGATTTTGATCACTGGTTTTGCAAAAAAAAAAAAAATCTAAGAATCCCTTTGTCCTTTATCTTCAGTGCTCTGTGACGTGTGAAAGAGGAACCCAGAAAAGATTCCTGAAGTGTGCCGAAAAGTACATTTCCGGCAAGTACCGGGAGCTGCCCTGGAAGAAGTGCGCCCTTCTGCCGCAGCCCAGCCTGGAGCTGGAGCGCACCTGCGCCCTGCGGCCCTGCACCCAGCCCCACCCCCACGCGGCGCGAGGCAGCTGGTTTGCCTCGCCCTGGTCTCAGGTAAGAAGCTGTGGATGTTTGAGATGGGATGGGCACTGCTTGCTGCCTGGAAGCCAAGAGCTGGCCCCAGCAGGGGTGGGGTCCCACCAGGCCCCATTCTTGCTGTGGGCACCGCACGCCCAGCACAGACAGAGCCCACATCCGCTGAAGCCTCCGTGGAAGGAGATGACGTGTTCTTGACAAAATCTGGGCAAATTCTCCTAGCGATTGGTGTGAACGGGAAGAAATAGAGGATCTAAAATAAATCTACGGCTGTCTGTAGGTTGAGCACAGCTCTTTTCTCTGGCCCTCCCCATTGCCCCGGGGAACTTCAACTCTGCACACACCCCACCTACCATGGATGATCAGTAATGATCAGCGCTATTGATTTAAACCCCAGCCCAGTTGGGAAACTGAGATGAAGCAGACTTAGTTATTTGTGTACGCATGTATGTGTTCGTGTTTGTTTGGAGATTCGAGGGATTGAATTGGGGACCTTCCAGTAAGCAAGTGCTCTACCACCTGAGCCACAGCCCCGTCCCAGTGCAGCAGTGCTCAGAGCCCAGGGTTCTGACCTCAGCAGTGCATGAACTCACAGGTGCGTTCACAACTTGGCAGATTGAGAGTCAATGGAAGCCTGAGGAGTCGGGGCGGGTTGGTAGAAGCGGGGTGCTGAGGACACGCCCTTGAAGCCGTCTTCCAGCTCCATCCTCTCCCCCTTTCTCACCATGAGGTGAGCACATTCGCCTCAGCTCACACTCCTCTCCCACGCTGTTCTGCCTGCCACGGAGGTAGAAGCCGGCCACCCCTGGACGGGGGCCTCAGGGAACCTCAGCGAACATGAACCCAAGTAAACCCTACTTCTTTTTAAGGTCATTTTCTCAGGTGTTTTGTCAGAGTGAAAGAACACGATAACACATTCTCCCAAAGGTATTTAAGACAGAAATTATTTAAATTATTGGAGCAGGAGGTATCTAACACAGGCCCCTTGCAAATATTTCCTTTCATCAATGGACAGAAAAGCATCAACCCCATACTTCTTTTTTTGGGGGGGGTCTGGTCGTGGGGCCTGAACTCTGGGCCTGGGCGCTGTCCCTCAGCTCTTCAGCTCAAGGCTAGTGCTCTACCACTTGAGCCACAGCGCCACTTCCGGCTTTTTACTTTTTGCTTATGTCGTGCTGGGGAATCGAACCCAGGGCCTCAGGCATGCAAGGCAAGTGCTCTACCACTGAGCCACCTTCCCAGCCCCAACCCACACATCTTTTCTAGGAGACCTCCCTTTCTTTTCTTGTTACTACACTGTCTTCCAGCCACATGAGCTAAGAGCTTTCTGAGGAGCAAAGGCAACGCTGTCTCTCCCGTGAGAAATGTAAGTCAGACACAAGGAGGAGAAACTGGGGCTTCTAAAGTGATTCTCGTCCCAGTATCTAGCTACCGAACTGACTGTTCAAATGCAAAAACTTCAGTCACATTTAGAATGAGGAAAACAAGATATAGCAATATTTAATTTAAACGCCAGCTTAAAAAATCTACTTGTTTTCAGTAGCTTGTGCCACTGAAATACCCAGTCTGGGTGATACGTGATTTTTATCAGAGACCGTGGCTCATCAGATTCTGAGGCCACAGCTTTTTTAAACAGGGTGAAAAGCCACAGGGTTTTATTTGGTGTGAGTGCTTTATGGCCTGGGCTGGGCCCTCCCCATGTGGGAGGTGGTCAGCGGCAGTGGATGGTCAGTGCCTGCTGACCTCGGCCAGCAGACGGGTTTACTCTACAGCAGTTACAGGTTGTCATTCCTGGGGTTGGTGCTGCACATGTCACCACGGAGGACTGGCTCAGATCACAGCTATCTCCTAGCTGAGCAGCAGGTGGCTCCTACGCTCTGGTCTGGGAACAGCTTAGGATGGCCACGTGCTGCAACCTGTGCCGGTCCACATGGCAGAGGTGCACATGTCGGTGCTGGGGCCTGTCTCACCCTCCAGCTTCTTAGTAGGATGGTGGACAGATGGACCTGGAGACCCGAGGGTATGAAGGACAAGTTCCCATGTTACAGACGACACATGTGATTTCCCACCCTGGCCCCTAAGACTGCAGTCCTGAGTCCTGCACACATGCACCCGCTATGCATAGGTGATTGACAGATGCAGGCCCGGTACGGCCCTGGACCCTTCCCTGCCGTCACCCGCCGGTAATGCCCGCACCTGCCTTCGGCACTGACGGATGAGGCTGCCATCCTCACCCTCTGCATGCAGGAGATCCAATAACCAGCTGGTGTTGCGTCAGAAGCACAGACCCATTCAGGTTTAAAGCCATTGAAGTTTGTGCAACTCCATCTTTGAATTGTGTTGGCATTTGGTCTCTGGGAGAGTGGGAAGAATTCAATGAGTAGAAGCTCCAGATTTAGCATATCCAGGCCAGCAGGATAACGGTAAAGGAACTTAATGAAGACTCCCAATCAAGGCTTAGCCGCAGAAAATAAAAGTGTGAGACCTTGGCCTCCAAGAACAAGCCTGTGCCTCTGTACGGACTGTCCTCTGGTGCCCGCAACACATCAGGGGCATGCAGGGAGTCCCTGTGGTTATGATCGAATCGGACGAGGATCAGTGCGGCTGTCACCACCTAGACTAGCAACCACTGTGCTCCACCTAGACTAGCAACCACTGTGCTCCACCTAGACTAGCAACCACTGTGCTCCAC